AGATTACAGGTGTGAGCCACTGTGCCTGGTTAATTTAAAGTTTTTAATAAGAAACATTAAATTAAAGATTGAAGTTATGGCTGGGCGAGGTGGTTCACATCTGTAATCCCAGCACTTGGGGAGGCTGAAGCAGGCAGATCACCTGAGTTTGGGAGTTCGAGATCACCCAGGCCAACATGATGAAACCCCATCTCTACTAAAAATACAAAAAATTAGCTGGCCATGAGAGTGTGTGCCTATAATCCCAGCTACTCGGGAGGCTAAGGCAGGAGAATCACTTGAACCTGGAAGGTGGAGGTTGCAGTGAGCCAAGATTGCATCACTGTACTCCAACCTGGGTGACAAAGCGAGACTCGGTCTCAAAAAAAATAAAGAAAAAAAAATTGAAGTTACAAATTATATAGAAATTAACAAAATGGAAAATGTTTGACAATAAAACTAACAAAATACAGCAAAAAGAGAATTCAGAGGAAAATTTATGGCCTTAATTGCATTTATAATAAATGCTTAACTAAATGGGATGAAACAAAGATAAAAGCCATACTTGAGGCTAGGCACAGTGGCTCACACTTGTAATCCCAGCACCTTGGGAGGCTGAGGTGGGAGCTCCTGCAGAGGAGTTTGAGACCAGCCTGGGCACAGAACCAGATCTTGTCTCTAAAAAACAAATTTAAAAAAAAAGCCATACTTAACTAGAGACAATTTTAAAACCAATACCACGAATAAATAAGGCTAACATATGGTTTCTTGAAAATTCCAGGAGAAATAGAATAAAGGGGAAAAACATACTTAAATTTATATTTAAAACAGGGTGTTGGCCAGGCGCTGTGGCTCACGCCTATAATCCCAGCACTTTAGGAGGCTAACGTGGGCAGATCACAAGATCAGGAATTCCAGACCAGCCTGACCAACAAGGCGAAACCTCATAAAAACACAAAAATTGGCTGGGCGTGGTGGCTGGCGCCTGTAATCCCAGCTACTCAGGTGACTGAGGCAGAAGAATCGCTTGAACCTGGGAGGCGGAGGTTATAGTGAGCTGAGATCGAGCCACTGCACTCCAGCCTAGGAAACAAGAGTAAGACTCTGTCTCAAAAAAAAATAAAATAAAACAGAGTTATTATCTATATTTCACTAAGTATTTCTTAAGTCATCTTTCTCCAAATGACATAATAGCTATGTGGTATACAAAAGGAATTGGGAGGTAGGCGAGAACTCCTAAAGATTAGAAAGAATTGGCCAGGGTGTGATGGCTCACACCCATAATCCCAGTGCTCTGGGAGGCTGAGGCGAGCTGATCACTTGAGGTAAGGAGTTTGAGACCTGCCGGGCCAACATGGTGAAACCCCATTTCTACTAAAAATACAAAAATTAGCCAGGCATGGTGGTGTGTGCTTGTAGTCCTAGCTACACCAGAGGCTGAGGCAGGAGAATCACTTTAACCTGGGAGGTGGAGGTGCAGTGAAAGGAGATCCTACCACGGCACCCACCCTAGATAACAAAGTTAGACTCAGTCTCAAAGGGAAAAAAAAGAAAAAAAAAAAGATTAGAAAATAAATAAAAACAAAGTGAAAAAAAAAAAGATTGGAAAGAATGTTGGCCAGGCACTGTGGCTCATGCCTCTGGGAATCAGGTCTAAAGAAACCTCATTCCTGGCCAGGCGCGGTGGCTCATACCTGTAATCCCAGCACTTTGGGAGGCCGAGGTGGGTGGATCATGAGGTCAGGAGTTTGAGACCAGCCTGACCAACATGGTGAAACCCTGTCTCTATTAGCCAGGAGTGGTGACATGCACCTGTAGTCCCAGCTTCTCAGGAGGCAGGAGAATTGCTTGAACTCAGGAGACAGAGGTTACAGTGAGCTGAGATCATACCACCGCACTCCTGGGCAACAGAACAAAACTCCATCTCAAAAAAAAAAAAAAGAGAGAAAGGAAGGAAGAATGTAAAATGATGCTTAACCATTTTTTTTTTTTTTTAAGACGGAGTCTTGCTGTATCGCTACAACAATGGCGTACTCTCACCTCATGGCAACTTGCGCCTCCTGGGTTCAAGCAATTCCCCTGCTCCTCCCGAGTAGCTGGGACCACAGGCATGCACCACCATGCCTGGCTGGTTTGTTTGTTCTTTTTTTGTTTTTGAGACAGTCTTGTTCTGTCGCCAGGCGCCAGGCTGGAGTGCAGTGATGTGATCTCAGCTCGCTGCAACCTCTGCCTCCCTAGTCCAAGCAATTTTCCTGCCTCAGCCTCCCATAGTCCAAGCAATTTTCCTGCCTCAGCCTCCCAAGTAGCTGGGACTACAGGCACATGCCACCACACCCAGCTAATTTTTGTATTTTAGTAGAGACGGGGTTTCACTATGTTGGCAAGGATGGTCTTGATCTCTTAACCTTGTGATCCACATGCCTCGGCCTCCCAAAGTGCTGGGATTACAGCCATGAGCCACTGCACCCAGCCTGTTTTTTTTTTGTATTTTAGTAGAGACAGGGTTTTGCCACACTGGCCAGAATGGTCTCCATCTCCTGACCTTGTGATCCACATGCCTCGGCCTCCCAAAGTGCTGGGATTACAGCCATGAGCCACCTCTTAACTATTTCTTTACTATTTCTTTCACATGTATGAATCACAAGTGAAGGCAGTATTTTCCAAAACAGTAATACTAAGTTATTACTCTTTTTTTTTTTGAGACAGTCTCACTCTGTCACCCAGGCTGGAGTGTAGTAGCATGGTGTTGGCTCACTGGAACCTTGGCCTCCTGGTTCAAGTGATTCTCTTGCCTCAGCCTCCCCAGTAGCTGGGACAACAGGTGTGTGATACCACACCTGGCTAATTTTTTTTTTTTTTTTTTTTAAGATGGGGTTTCACCATGTTGGTCAGGCTGGTCTTGAACTCCAGACCTCAGGTGATCCGCCTGCCTTGGCCTCCAAAGTGCTTGGATTACAGGTGTGAGCCACCCGGCCCTTTTTTTGTATTTTTAGTAGAGACAGGGTTTCACCTTGCTAGCCAGGATAGTCTTGATCTCCTGACCTTGTGATCTGCCCACCTTTCGGCCTCCCTTACAGGCCTGAGCCACTGTGCCCAGTCAAGTTATTACTTCTTTTCATTTTATTTTTCTGCTCCATGGGAGGTTTCTGTAAGCTATGACCTATGAATTCTTCATTTACCTTTTTACTGAGAAGACCCTATTAAGTTCAGCCATGCATGTTAATTGCCAGGCCTGGCATGGCAACCCCACCCAGCCCCTTGGGAGGATTTTTAACAAACTGGCCCACATTTACTCTTTAGTTAAAAGCAAGAATTCGGCCAGTCCCCTTGGCTCAATCTTGTAATCCCAGCACTTTGGGATTCTCCCGCCTCAGCCTCCCAAGTAACTGGGATTACAGGCATGTGGCACCACATCCTGCTAATTTTTGTATTTGTAGTAGAGACAGGGTTTCTCCGTGTTGGTCAGGCTGGTCTCGAATGCCTGATCTCAGGTGATCCGCCCACCTCGGCCTCCCAAAGTGCTGGGGATTACAGGCGTGAACCACCGCACCCAGCCTATTTTCAGTTTTTATTGGTCTCCACAATTTGATAGGAAGCAAATCTATGCACTTTCCTTTGCTAAATACATGCAGGAAAAATGGTTTATGTAAATTCATCTTATCAGCTCCACACCTCATGTTAGAAGTTACTTTGGAATCTTCTAGACCTCCCTTCAAGATTAAGCTCCTGGGCTGAACTTCCTGCCTTATATACATAATCCCAACATTTTGGAAAGCTGAGGTGGGAGGAGTCCCTGAGCCCAGGTTTTTGAGGTTACAGTTAGCTACAAAGGCACAACTGCACTCCAGCCTGAGGGACAGAGCAATACCTCATCTCTAACAATAATAATATTAATTATAAGGTCTTTTAGGCTGACTCCACTATGTTCGCCTCTGTGACCTGCACAGACACTCCAGATGAGTTCCGAGTTCCTGGAAAATCTAATGTAACTGGAAGAAGAATAAATGATCAACCCCTGTGGTGCCTACTTAACTTTGAGACTTTCTCTATTGTTCCTTATTCCAGCCCTAATTAAGGCCATTGGACTCTGTAATAGACCTTGGTCAACAACCTATGAACTTCTCCCAGCTTGCAAAAAAACCCGCCTTAAACTGTAACTTTCCACTGCCCACCCCAAACCAATAAAACCAACTCCTATCCCACTGCCCTTTGCTGAGGCCCTTTTCAGCCTCAGCCCACCTGCACTCAGCTGAATAAACAGCCATATTGCTCACACAAAGCCTGTTTAGGGGGTCTCCTGATTCAGCACACGCATTTTAACATTAATAAAAATTTTTAAAACCAAAAAATTAAAAGACTTCTCCTGAGTGAAAAATGGAGAGTTGAAAACAACAAAAACCTTATAATTGAGCTGGAGCCACTACATCGACACATAAAAAGGATAAACATTCATAAAACAACACACAAAATCTGGAAGTTAACTTAGGGTAAAGGAAGAGTCCATTGTTTCTTATTATCATACATCTACCATTGAACATGTCCTATCACCTTAGGAGATGAGTTTTAAACTAAGTGTAATGAGAAAATAGGTACTTTCTCTCTCTCTCTCTCTCTCTCTTTTTTTTAGACGGAGTTTTGCTCTTGTTGCCCAGGCTGGCATGCAACAGCGCAATCTCGGCTCACTGCAACCTCCGCCTCCCGGGTTCAAGCAATTATCCTGCCTCAGCCTCCCAAGTAGCTGGGATTACAGGCGCCCACGACCACGCCCCGCCAATTTTTGAATTTTTAGTAGAGACAGGGTTTCACCATGTTGGCCAAGCTGGTCTCGAACTCCTGACCTCCGGTGATCAACATCTCTCGGCCTCCCTCTCTTTTCTTTTTGGCTGTGGGGTGGCCAGACAATGAAAAAATACCACAAGTGAAATGCTACGCTGAATTGACCAGGCTAACTGGGAACTCACTGGAAAAGTGAAAACTGAGATGAATTAGTGATTAGCTCAAGAAGGTGCTTAGCCACTTACCCCTCTTTAATGAGAATGGATCGCTGGTTTCCACTGGTCGTTCCACTGCCAGTAAGAAGACAGTCGTGAACCTTGGGTCCCTTTTTTCACTAGTCAACAGTCACCCTCACCTACACGCGGAGTACATATTTGGCACTCAACAAATCTTGATTGAATGAAACCCTACCTCACTCACATAGGCACCTAACCCCGGAGTTATGGCCCCCCAAATTACCTCCAAGACGCCTGACTACCTAACCCAAAGAGCTGAAAAAGTAGAGAGGAAAGCTCCGGGGTGGAGGGGATTCTCTCTCAAACAAGCAGGGGCCACGGGGCCTACCCCAAGCCAACTTCCCATAGAAAACTCAGGGGCCCAGGGGATTGAACCGCGGCTAATTCCCTTCCACTTCCACGAAGTAGCACCCAATGGGCCGCAGATCCATAGCCTCCCATCCGGGGGCGCTGAGAGATCTTGGGGTATCTCCCCTCAAAGTTAGTACCTGCGAAGCTGCGGCACAGAGAGTAGCTCCAGGATCTCATTACGGAGGCCAGGGCCTGGGGCCGGCCAGCCGCGCCACCTGGCTGAGGGTTTCGCGCTTCGTAGCTGCAGTGACGGCACAGGTCGCAGATAGACACCTAAGGCTTTTCAGAAGGGTCCTGACTCGCAGGCCCCGGACGTTTTGCTCCTAGGACTCCGCGAGTTGTCGCACTCACGTCAACTGGCGCCCTTCAGGGCTTCCCTCACTGGTTAAGCGGTCACTTCTGCCTTTAGCCCAGCAGCCGGTAGCTTCCCGGCGCCGCCATCGTTAGTGTTTGTTTTCATTCGCTTCGGAAAGGCCAAGGGGGTGGAAGAGGGCTACGGCGGAAATCCAGATGCCTAACCTTAGTCGCACTTTCGGCATGGCATGGACGCCCTCTTTATTCTTTTAGTCCTCTAAATCTCTAGGAAAGTTGATTTTCTTTCCACGTAAGCTTTCTTGCCCAATCTTTCTAAGCTACTCAGGATAAATAAAGACGGAAAAGAGGTGTCAGAGAAGAGAGAGAGAGAGACGGTTTGGGCCGCGTGTGGAATGTGCGGAGACGAACCGCAGGTCGCGGCGGCGGCAACAGTGAGGACGCGGCGTGAGGCGGATGCTGACGTGAAGTGGGCGGTGCCGCTATTGCTCGCCGTGGCGGCCAGTGTGCGGTTGCCGGTTCCGGAGGAGGGCCCGATCTGGCTGGGTGGGTGGGGAGTGTGCCTGGTAACCTGGCAGCCGTGGAGAGGTGGGTGACGGGCCTGGGCTGACTGAGTGCCCTGCGCAATCAGACTTTGAAATCCGTTTTTAGGATGCCCTTTAAAAGTGGCGGAGTCGCTTCCCAAACCTGGTTCGGCCAGCCTCTTTTTTGCTCCGGATTCCCAAAGTATCTGGTCTTCCCTACTTACTGGCCCTCAGCTACACGATTTGGAGTTCTTGGAGTGAGAGAAAGCCTCTTGTTACAGCACAGTGTACGTCCATAAGGCTGGGTCGTGTACTTTGTTGTTGTTGGGGTTTTTTTGGTGCCCCTTCTTTTCTTGTTAGACTAGTTTGAGCACCCCAGCATCTGTCCTGTACTTATCAGGTGGAACCAGAAGTCTTTGGATAATGAAACCCGTGATCAGTTCTTACCTAAGGTGGTTATGACATGTGTCAGCTGCTTCTTGGCCTGTATAGTTAGGAGCCAACCTCTTTTACCTTGTGAATAGCTATGTCATCACCACCATTAATCTTCTGCTGTTCTCAGTTGAAATGCCAGGCATTAAATGAACCGCAAAGATTGAATTTCCATTATCCTTCAAATCAGAGCAAGCTTTTCATCCAGCCATGAGTTAGAGTAGAAAAATCTAGAATTGTAAGTACAATACGTTTGCTCCAACAAAATGGAAATTTGCAGAAAAGGAGGTGCTGCAGCCTTTGAGTTACTTTAAAGTCTTTTCTAATGTTTTTTTCTTTTAACCTTTACAGAGAGAAGATTACAAATGGCAGAGCCATTTAACTGTGGTTAGCTGTTGAATTCTGATACTTTCTTAAAATTACCTTCTTGCACCAACATCTTCATTGGGAAGGGTTCAGAAAAAGTAGCAGAGAAGAGAGACAACATTGACATTTACCATGGCAATACCAATAACAGTGCTTGACTGCGACCTCTTGCTGTATGGCCGAGGTCACCGGACACTGGACCGTTTTAAGCTGGATGATGTGACTGATGAATACTTGATGTCCATGTATGGGTTTCCTCGACAGTTCATTTATTACTTGGTGGAGCTCTTGGGGGCAAATCTTTCTAGACCTACTCAGCGATCCAGGGCTATTAGCCCAGAGACACAGATCCTTGCAGCATTGGGTTTTTATACCTCAGGTTCCTTCCAGACTCGGATGGGAGATGCTATTGGAATTAGTCAGGCATCTATGAGTCGTTGTGTTGCCAATGTCACCGAAGCACTTGTGGAAAGGGCCTCACAGTTCATTCGCTTTCCAGCTGATGAAGCCTCCATACAGGCCCTCAAGGATGAATTCTATGGGTTGGCAGGGATGCCAGGGGTGATGGGGGTGGTTGACTGTATCCATGTGGCCATCAAGGCACCAAATGCTGAAGACCTCTCCTATGTGAACCGGAAAGGCCTGCATTCTTTAAACTGCCTTATGGTGTGTGACATCAGAGGGGCACTAATGACCGTGGAGACAAACTGGCCTGGCAGCCTACAGGACTGTGCTGTGCTGCAGCAGTCTTCCCTCAGTAGTCAATTTGAAGCCGGTATGCACAAAGATAGCTGGCTTCTGGGTAAGTTTGCAGGTGTGAATTTTCATTTTGTTTGGAGGCATAGAAAAGTTATGTAGGCCGGGTGCAGTGGCACACACATATAATCCCAGCACTTCAAGAGGCTGAGACAGTAGATATCACCTGAGGTCAAGAGTTGGAGACCAGCCTGATCAACATGGTGAAACCTCGTCTCTACTAAAAATACAAAAATTAGCTGGCATGGTAGCAGGCGCCTGTAATCCCAGTTACTTGGGGAGGCTGAGGCAGGAGAATCGCTTGAACCCAGGAGGTGGAGGTTATAGTGAGCCAAGATGGCACCATTGCACTTCTGCTTGGGCAACAGATCAAAAACTCCATCTCAAGAAAACCAAGAAAAGTGGCTAGCCAGCCGCGGCAGCAGGCACCTGTAATCTCAGCCACTCCGGAGGCTAAGGCAGGAAAATCTCTTGAACCCAGGAGGCAGAGGTTGCAGTGAGCCGAGATTGCGCCACTGCATTCCAGCCTGGGTGACAGAGTGAGACTGTCTCAAAAAGAAAAAAAAAATTGGCTGGTGTGGTGGCTCACACCTGTAATCCCAACACTTTGGGAGGCTGAGGCGGGCGGATCACCTGAGGTAGGACTTCAAGACCAGACTGACCAACATGGAGAAACCTCATCTCTACTCAAAATATAAAATTAGCTGGGTATGGTGGTACATGCCTGTAATCCCAGCTACTCAGGAGGCTGAGGCAGGAGAATTACTTGAACCCAGGAGGCGGAGGTTGCGGTGAGCCAAGATCACGCAGTTGCATTCCAGCCTGGCTGACAAGAGTGAAACTCCATCTCAAAAAAAAGAAGAAAAAGGAAAGTTATGTAGTGGAGTAGAATGAGATATGGAAGTCTGTAGAGCTGAGTCTCAGTCCTGTCACTTTTTTATGAGACTTCAGGTGAGAACTTTGTGAGCCTTAATTTTTTAAAAAATCAACATTTAAACCCTGTGAGAGGTATAGAAAAGAAAATATATATATATATGTATATGTATATAAAATCAACATTTAATAGACATTATTAAAACTTTAATACTCTTAGAGCCAGGACAGTGGCACATACTGGTACAACTGGTAGTCGTAATTTCAACTACCTGGGAGGCTAAGACAAGATGATCACTTGAGCCTGGACCTTGAGAGCAGCCTGAGCAAGATAGCAAGACCCTGTCTCAAAAACAAACAATTTTTAGTTATCTTATTTTTTAATTTTGTGTAGAGGCAGGGTCTCACTATGTTGCCCAGCCTGGTCTTGAGCTCCTGGCCTCAAGCTATCCTCCCATCTCAGCCTCCCAAAGCTCTGGGAATATGGGTATAAGCTACCACACCCAATGTAAAAAAATTATTCATTTTTTTTTTAGATGGAATCTTGCTCCATCACCCAGGCTGGAGTGCAGTGGTGCAGTCTCAACTCACCGCAACCTTTGCCTCCCATGTTTAAGCAATTCTCCTGCCTCAGCCTCCCAAGTAGCTGGGACTACAGGCATGTGCCACCAAGCCCAGCTAATTTTTATATTTTTTAGTAGAGACGGGGTTTCTATGCCCTAAGTGCATGCAGATAAAAAAAGAAAAAGAGAGAGATGGGGTTTCACCATGTTGCCAGGATGGTCTTAATCTCCTGACCTTGTGATCTGCCCACCTCAGCCTCCCAAAGTGCTGGGATTACAGACATGAGGCACTGCGCCCAGCCTAATTTTGTATTTTTAGTAGAGATGGGGTTTTACCATGTTGGTCAGGCTGATCTCATGATCCACCCACCTTGGCCTGCCAAAGTGCTGGGATTACAAGAGTGAGCCACTGTGCCTAGCCAAAAAAAATTATTAATAAAGATACTTTATTTTATTTCATCCAGCTCTTTTACTCCTAAGAATTTATCTTAGAGGTGGCCAGGCGTGATGGCTCATGCCTGTAATCCCAGCAATTTGGGAGGTTAAGGCAATGTGGATCACGAGGTCAGGAGTTGGAGACCACCCTGGCCAGGATGGTGAACCCCATCTCTACTAAATATACAGAAATTAGCCAGGCGCAGTGGCAGCTAAGTAAAAAAATAAAATAAATAAAAATTGTTTAATTGTTGTTGAGACAGGGTCTTGCTGTCTTGCTCAGGCTACGCAAGGTCCAGGCTCAAGTGATCCTCTTGACTTAGCCCCCCCAAGTAGCTGGGATTAGTAGTAATTAGTACCTGGGAGCCTGAGGTAGGAGAATCGCTTGAACCTAGGAGGCGGAGGTTGCAGTGAGCCAAGATCACGCCACTGCACTCTAGCCTGGGCAACAGAGCAAGACTCTACCTCAAAAAAGAAGAATTTATTTTAGAGGTATACATTTATATATATGTAAAACAAAATTGCATACAAGAATTTTTATTGCAAACAATAGCTACAGCAACAAAAACAAGCATATAAAAACCATCCTGTCTGGATGTGGTGGCTCATGCCTGTAATCCCAGCACTTTGGGAAACCAAGGTCAAAGGGTCACTTGAATATAGAAGTTTGACATCAGTCTGGGCGACAAAGCAAGACACCGTCTCTCAGAAAAGTAATGATAATATAAATGAATAAATAAAACAATCCCCCTGAAATAAAGCCAAAATACTGCTGGGCACAGTGTCTGATGCCTGTGTCTCATCCCATCATGGGAGGCTGAGGCAGGCGTATCACCTGAGGTAGGGTGTTTGAGACCAGCCTGACCAACATAGTGAAATCCCTCCTGTACTAAAAAAACAAAAATTAATGGGGCATGGTGGCATGCACCTGTAATCCCACCTACTTGGGAGGCTGAGGCAGGAGAATCGTTTGAACCCAGGAGGCAGAGGTTGCAGTGAGCTTAGATCCCACCACTGCACTCCAGCCTGGGCAACAGAGCGAAACTCCATCTCAAAAAAAAAAAAAAGGAAAAAAAGGCCAGGCATGGTGGCTCATGCCTGTAATCCCAGCACATTGGGAGGCTGAGGCAGGTGGATCATGAAGTCAGGAGTTCAAGACCAGCCTGGCCAACATAGTGAAACCCCCATCTCTACTAAAAATACAAAAATTAGTCAGGTGTGGTGCTACGTGCCTGTAGTCCCAGCTACTCGGGAGGCTGAGGCAGGAGAATCGCTTGAACCTGGGAGGCAGAGGTTGCGGTGAGCTGAGACACGCCATTTGCACTCCAGCCTAGGTGATAGACGGAGACTTTGTCGCAAAAAAAAAAGAAGAATCCAACATACTTATCAGGACTGTCCAGAACTGCTTAAGTATTGTATATCCATACAATTGAGCCTTAATTTTTATCGTCTGTAAAACAGTTAAACTGACACCAACCACAGTAATATCTATTGTGAAGATTAGGTAATATATATGAAAGTTCCCTATAAATAAAGTATTATACAGATATACAAATGTGGCTGGGAGAGGTTGTTCATGCCTGTAATCCCAGCACTTTGGGAGGCCAAGGTGGGTGGATCACGAGGTCAAGAGATCAAGACCATCCTGGTCAACATGGTGAAACCCCATCTTTACTAAAAATATAAAAAATTAGCTGGGCATGGTGGCGCGTGCCTGTAATCCCAGTTACTCAGGAGGCTGAGGCAGGAGAATTGCCTGAACCCAGGAGGCAGAGGTTGCAGTGAGCTGAGATCGTGCCATTGCACTACACTCTGGGTAACAACAGCAAAACTCCATCTCAAAAAAAAAAAAAAAAGAGAGATCGAGACCATCCTGGCCAACATGGTAAAAATCCATCTCTACTAAAAATACACAAAAACAATTAGCCAGGTGTGGTGGTGCAAGTCTGTAGTCCCAGCTACCTGGGATGCTGAGGCAGGAGAATTGCTTGAAACCAGAAAACAGAAGTTGCAGTGAGCCAGGATCACGCCACTGCACTCCAACCTGGCTATAGAGTGAGATCCATCTCAAAAAAAAAAAGAGAGAAATCTCCCATGTTGCAGGTGGCCAAAGACCTCACTGATGGGTACAGAGCTGCCTGGGCACCATGTGTTATATCTTGGAACTAACTGATTTTCTTGAGTTGTTGCGTTTCCATACCATTTTCAATGCACTACCTTCTGCTACTCTACTGGACCTTTGTCTTTTTTTTTTTTTGGAAGGAGTCTCATTCTGTCGCCCAGGCTGGAGTACAGTGACGTGATCTCGGCTCATTATAACCTCTGCCTCCCAAGTTCCAGTGATTTTCCTGCCTCAGCCTCCCGAGCAGCTGGACTACAGGCATGCACCACCATGCCCAGCTTATTTTGTATTTCTAGTAGACATGGGGTTTCTCCATGTTGGTCAGGCTGGTCTCAAACTCCTGACCTCAGGTGATCTGACCGCCTCAGCATCCCAAAGTGCTGGAATTACAGGCATCAGCCACCACATCCGGCCCAGACCTTTATCATTTTTTTTTTTTTTTTTGAGACGGAGTCTCTCTCTGTCACCAGGCTGGAGTGCTGTGGCATGATATGGGCTCACTGCAACCTCCGCCTCCCAGTTCAAGGGATTCCCCTGCCTCAACCTTCTGAGTAGCTGGGACTACAGGCACATGCCACCACGCCTAGCTATTTTTTTGTATTTTAGTAAAGATGGGGTTTCACCATGTTGGTCAGGTTGGTCTTGATCTCCTGATCTTGTGATTCACCTGTGTCAGCCTCCCAGAATGCTAGGATTACAGGCATAAGCCACCTCGCCTAGCCACAGACCTTTATCTTAAACACACCTTTTGCTTATTTTGAGCTTTCAAATTTTATTTTCATACAACTCACACCAAGAAATGTCGGAAAGTCTATTTTGCAATTGTCTCATCTGGCCATTTCTTCTACAACTGTGGGAGTACTTGGGTTCCAAGCTGATTTCTTTCTTTTTTTTGAGACCGAGTTTCGCTTTTGTTACCCAGGCTGGAGTGCAATGGTGCGACCTCGGCTCACCGCAACCTCCGCCTCCTGGGTTCAGACAATTCTCCTGCCTTAGCCTCCTGAGTAGCTGGGACTACAGGCACACGCCACCATGCCCAGCTAAGTTTTTGTA